GAGTTAAGTGAGTACATTATTGAAATAGGCATGACCACTAATAGCTAACATATAAAGACGCATGTTATAAAAAAATTTTTACTGCGAAAAAATTTTTTTTCTTACTAAACAAGCTTGATTAATAAACAAAAAAATACATTGCGAATACATTGGAATACATGTGTTTCGTACGTTTTACAATTTAGTGTGTGGGCGTGTGCGCGCGCGCGCGCGCGCGCGCGTGTGTGTGTGTGTGTGTGTGATATCAGTCTCATGATTTTTTCGACCAATTTTTGTTACCTTTGATTAATTTTTTTTATGTGTGGACACCAATCACCTTTAACTAAAAAAAAAAATTAATTTCGTCANAGAAAAATGACAAAAAATATTTAAAAAAAAATTCTTTCTTCCAATCTCACAACTTTATTACCAAAGTAACAAAGTCCTGGAGCTTAATCTCTTGATTCTGAATCACCAAAACGAATACAGATACATTTTACTCTACCTATTTAAAGATTTAGAAGATTTAAGTGTTTATTGTCAGGGTTATAATGAAAAGCTGATCTCTCACATAATGATTCTTTATTTATCGATTTTGACGCTGCCATTTCGATGTCAATACATATTCTACATCAGTTCCTTAACGCCTAAAATTGTATTTATTTGAAGCATTTGAAGTTTTTCTCCCAATTCGCCCTCTTGCGGCTATAGGCATGGTTAAAACTTTCGAGAGCCTCAAGGGCTGTTTTTTGTCGACTTTACTAGGTTACAATATATTTGTTGGCAAGGTAGTTCAACGCTCCATTACCCAAAAAGGACCGGTAAGCTAAACTCTTTCTTGACTAAAGTTTCCAGCAAATATGACTGCCTGGATACCTCAGGGTGATCTTCTCTGGCCTGCTGTTGTAGTTCCAGACTGATCAAAATGTCTGAAGCGTTGTAACTAGTTGTAGAGCTTTTTTCCAACGTCTCATGGTATTACGCTAGAGACGTTGATGTCTAAAGTACTTTCGTTTTTTGCAAAGCCCAGTCGTTTTGATAATCTAATGGGTTGAGATCAGAGCCTAGTCGTTTTGGTAATCTATGAAGGGAAGATTGGTTCAGGATGCTTGCCAGTTGGGGACTGCTCAAGAGTTAAAGCCAAGAGGTAATGCAGGGTTATCGGCAGTCGAGGTATTCAGCCTCGCGACGAAAAACTCCGCTCCTGGCGTCAGCCAGAGAATAACTGACTTGATTTAATAGTAACCGGCTTTACATCGTATTTTAGTGGACGAACAGTTGCCGGCAATGGTTATCAAAATGTATTTGCTGGCAAGATAGTTCAACGTTAGATGGCCCTAAAAAGAACAGATGAGATTGGTCGTTATTTAGTGAACGTTAATACTTATGATGGCCCAGGAAAAGGACAATGATGATACTTTTAGTCACTCTTTTATTTCCAATGATGGAGAGCCGGCGGGTAAATTGACTTTTACACTGAGTCTTTGCGTACAGAAATCATGTTGAAGGGAGGTACGCTGCTGGACGAAAAATATCTCGTCTCCGGGTGGTTCCCTGCATAAACAACCGTTTACAGTTGGTCAGAAAAGTGGGCTTAGGAAATACTTTATCTGTGAGTATGCCGTTAGGACGAACCACTGAGGGGGTTGACAAAACTTTCAGCTGATGTGGCAGCTCAAACTCCTGACGGTTGTTTTCTCTGGCTTGCTGTTGTAGTAAAATCTGGTCTTGTAGTACCAGGTCGGTTGAAAGAATAACCACGAAATCCCAAATTGTAAGAGCATATTTTGCTCCGGCTAGGCATCTCTAGTATTACGCCAGATATGTTGGCGTTCAGAACGTCTTTTATTTGTGGCACTCGTCGATCTTGGTGGTTCAGGATGGGATTCGACGTAAGCCGCTTGTCCATTGGAAAAGAGTGTCGTCGGTAGCTAGGATACCCAGCTGCACAACTAGTGTGATAAAATTAGCTTTTCAATTTGAAAATTGCTTCTAACGCGAAAAAAATCTGGGTGGTAGTTAAACGGTTTCAGAACAAATGTTAATAGTTTTAGACCCCAAATGGTGTCAGCTAACGGCCCAAAAAAAATGGCCATAGTGGCATAAAATGGTTTTTCGCGTCTAGAAAAGGACTGGAGAGTCGGAAAAAATAGTTGAACCAGTAAAAAAGATGCGCAATTTCAAGACAAAGAAAATATGCTCTGGTGTGATAAAATCAGTCCAGCCGTTTTTTTGTAATTTTCAAAAAAGTGCTACGTTGGACCATTTTTTTTTTAAATCTATAACTCGCGTTCCTTTGAATACTAAGACTTGAAAATTAATCACAAGGTATATCTTGTGTCCCTCGACATCCACACCGAATGTCACGACGATCGGTTGTAAACTTTTTGCAAACTGCTGCAAGAAGCAAAAGAATTGTCCCTCCAGCATTGTGCTTGTAGAGAGTTACTCTGCAATCTACTAAAACGTCGTTCCGTTAGACATTTCGGAAGTACGCGAAAAATGGGTGTCAAAAAAAAAAAATTTTCCGTGGATGCGGTGGCGCGGCGAGCCGCTCGCATGCTCCAAAGCTATGATGCGGAGAGGGGGCATGGCCTATGGCGGTAGCTCGCCGAGCCAGCGCATCCACGAAAAATAGCTGGTTTTTGACATCAATTTTTCGCGTACTTCTGAAATTTCAAACGGAACGAAGTTTTAGTAGGTTGTATAGTAACTCTCTTTAAGTACAATGCCGTTTGGAAAATGGCAATATGTTGAAAATCCAGCCACGTCGTACTTTTTTGCGGAGGGCCATTTTTTGCTTCTTGCAGCGTTTTGCAAAAAGTTTGCAACCGACCGTCTTGAAATTTAATGTGGATGTTGAGGGGCACAAGTTATACCTTGTAATTAATTTTCAAGTCCTAATATTTAAAGGAACGCGAGTTATAGATTTAAAAAAAAAACGGTCCTACGTAGCAATTTTTGTAAGTTGCGAAAAAACGGCTGGATCAATTTTATCCCACCGGAGCTCATTTTCGTTGTCTTGAGATTGCGCATCTTTTTCAATGGTGCAACTTTTTTGTCCAACTCTCCAGCTTTTTTCTAGACGCGAAAAACCATTTTGTCCACATTTACCATTTTTTTTGGGGCGTCAGCTGACACAATATGGAGTCTAAAACATGACTTTTTTTCGCGCTAATGGCAATTTAATTTTTCAAAAAGCTAATTCTATCTTATTACAGGTATGCGGTTGCATCATGCTCGTTCTTCGTCTTGAAATTGCGCATCTTTTGTACCTTTTTCATAATATATAACTTTTATACATAATTTTAAGTTCAATTTTTTCTGTCCAACTTTCCAGTTTTTTTCTAGACTTGATAAACCATTTTTGGTCACTATTACCATTTTTTTTGGTCCGTTAGATTTGTTCTGAAATCGTTCAACTACCACCCAGATTTTTCTAGCGTTAGAAGCAATTTTCCAAAAATAAACATTCTTTTTTGCTAATTTTATCATACTATACTCACAACTTTATTCCTGATGCACTGCCGGTGAAAGATTAGGGTATTCGTCAATTGGCACGGGGATATTATAACTGGATCTGCTTACTTATGTTGCAGGTATCTTCGATTTTACTGATACGCAATCTAGCGGATCCTACTGAGCTAAAGTAAAAAGCAAGCGTATTTTTAAAGAACTTAGTGCTTATTTATTGCTATTTTACTAACTTATTTGAGATTAAAACTATAAGAAAACTATCTACAAAGTGTCAAGAATCAGTATGCAAAATTTCAACAAGATCGGTGTAGTAGTTTTTACGGTTAGCGAGTACGACGGTCTTAGCGACTTTGCTTTATATATTAATAAGAAATAAAAAAAGGATAAGAAAAGATGATATGATATCCATGCTACAAACCTATTAATTTTATTTATAGAACACGCTGACTAAAAATCTGACAAGCACCTATTAAATATTTCAAAGTGACAGAAAAGTAATTCATATTTTTAGCACCCTCTCAATTAATTTTTATCAACATTTTGTAGGTCACTTTTCAAATTAGAAATAAACCACCGTCTTTCATAAGATAATATGTTTTAGTAATGAAAGTATGATACTTATGACTTTGTTGCTACGCACCTTAGGACCACAAAAATTAAGACATCATCATTTTCAAGTACTTATTATCTAACACGTTTAATTTTATTAAAACTTTAAAGGTAAATCAATATACCACAGTATTACACACAAAACATACAGTTATGATAATTATGTTATAGAATTATATCATATATAAGATATTACACGTGAATAGGATCTGAAAATACAGATATTGTTAATGAACGATAAATATTAAAAATTAACAGGGCATTGCTATAAATATTTTTTCTATAATGTACTGTAATTATAGTTTGATTAACTTGACTAGTTGAGAAGAACTTCAAATGTGCAAATTTAAATAGTTTGTTATCAAGTTAAGTATTCAGTGTAATGTCACACCTTAGAAATCAATCAGTTCAGTACATGAGACGATATATTGGATTACATCTTAGATATCATATTATTTGACACTGTCATAAGAATGAGAACTTATATTTCACTTTTTCAAACTTCAATGCGTTCCCCTTTAAAGTGACTTGCTACTTTATCTTTGACAATAGTTAAAAATAAAACTTTGATATGATTAATGACTATTCGACATAAAAAACTAATGTAGTTGTCGTAAAATCGTTGGTCGAAATTACATTTTACTGTTGAGATGAGCATAAAGAGATTGTGTCCCTGTTTGATATATAAATCTGTTTTATTTCACCCAATATTGAAAGTTCACATTAAAAAATTTGAAGTCTAATCTAGTACGTGAGTAATCTTTTACTGTATTATACAGATTACTTACTTTAAACTACTACTATTTGTACAAAAAATGGTGCCATAAAGCAGATAAAGTTTTAAAAAATTAAGATAAAAATACGATAGTTATGTTCATATGTATGTAAAAAAAGATGGTTATACAAATACATATAGATAATTATATAGTTCTTACATAAAAATATGATACAGGTCTAGAAAAAACAACACACTCTGCAAGTACCAAAGTCAATTATTGTTCCATTAACAACTGACTTTCTCAACATATCAAGTTCTTAATTTACAACAATGAAAAAATTGCCATAGACTGTCGTCACATGGAGGGTGGCATGCAATCTGTCATACTACGCTGATTGGCTGCTGTAATGCCGCGCGTTGATTGGCCACGGGTATAGTGGTCGCTTGAACTGAATAAGGCATAGAGATATAAGCCATAGAGGGAACAAGGGCTTCAGTCTCGCGATATAGGCAGCAAGAGAGATAACTGCTCCATAGTTCCCTCTATCTCTTTCTGGCAAAATCCTCTGATTGGCTGATGAATAGTGGCTGTGGAAGCGTGGTGTTAGTGCTATATATAGGTATAATGTGAGAAGTAAGAACTACAGAATTGTAGACAGCTGAGACTGCTCACTAAACGTCTGCTACGTAATAGTTTATTAAATATTTTATTATTGCTTTTCCTATGTTTGCGTAAACTATTTTGAATGAGCAGCTGTTTTTCTCTCTCATAAGAAGCATGAATGGACACAACAATAACCCGACGACAATACAGTTTTTATCTGCATACAAAAAACTCACTTTTCAAAAAATGTCATGTGTCACATCTAACTCTGCAAACTGCCTACGTTTAGATAAGACCCTTTTGCTGTTGAAGGATGAGAGCAGTGGTGACATTGCACTAAATAATGAAGAAACCAATCTCAACCCTGCTCACTGTCATCAATGCATTCAGTTAATAGTTGAGAGTACAAGTGAAAAGAAAAGTAAACTGACAAATATGAGAAATCTTATGTAGGAATTCTAAACTCCCGCCTGTATCGAATACTAAAACTGTACCTAGCACATGAGAGCCAATAGCAGCTAAGCAAGACAAAGACAGAGGGAACTATCGAGCATCTATCTCTGTTGTTGTCTTTATCGCTTCCACTTACAGGTATCCGTACTCCTTGTTCCCTCTATGGCTTATATCTCTATG